TAAAAAACAACCATTTAGGGGGTGATTCTGACTTAGAGTCCAGTCGTCGTCATCGTCGTCTCCCGGATGGTAGCTTCACATCATTGGCTCATCAATCAAGTACGTACACTGGAAATAATAGTCACCCATTTGTGTCGGACATGCTGAGAAAGCTGAATTATTGTTCATGTATTGACATGTGTTGGAGCTACGTGTGTAGAATACATCAAATTTTGGCACTGCTAATAAAAAAAAATATTTCTAAGCTGGTTAAATGTAGTGCATGGAACATAGGGGTAAAGTAATGTAGATAAATGGGGTGGATTTTACACTTAACATCAACAATAACGTCCCTTTCATCTGAGGAAACAGATCTTGTTTAGTTTGATCAAATAAGTTGCTTCACAAAATGCTACATGTTTTCAAGCCTCTTGCTTCCTGACACCATTGGCTTTGCGTTCTCCTCTTTCATCACTCGCCCATCCTAGGCTAGTCCGGCTACGAGCTCGGGGCACCGTCTGCCTGGAGCTGGATGGACAGCAACAGCTGTTGGTGCCCGGCCCCCGGTTGCAAAAACAGGCCAGAAGGAAAGCAAACCTCAGTACAGTACCGTCTTTGTGAATCAACTGGAAACCATCAGCTATAATCAAATGACCGCAGCAAAAGATTCAAGCCAGATGTAGGAATTCCAGTGTTCTGTACCGCAGCTCAGCCCAGCCGTGGCAGCCAGCAATAAGGTCATCGGCAGGAGAAATGAGAGTTGAGCTCTTTCTGGAAACCTGGGCTCAATTCTCTTGGCAGTAGGATATACCTGCGTGATCTATCAAACTGATAGAAGACAGTTTGACCTTTTCACCCTGTATGGTCCTAAGCAAGTGAGAGATTAGGGAGATTTTGTGACGTCTGTAGATTTAACACGTTGTCAGACAGTTCCTTGCTCTAACCAGTATGGGTATGACTCAGAATGTTTCATAGTGGTGGAATCTCTTAAATAAAATGAGGTTATTTGTTTAAGTTCTGTTTTTAAAACAGTTGTGAACAAACGCTCATTTTCACTTATGACGTGGAGGATGCCGACTTATATAGTAGTGCATTAATAGAGTGAAGTAGCTTTCTCAAAGGTACAAGGAGCAATGTCCCACCTAGGATTGGAACTCACATTTTTCCAGTCCATAGCTCAGATCCCTGGGATCTGCTCCACACCACCGCAGTTTATGGTGGTTCCCAAAATACTCCGTTAGGAAGTGAGACTTTCATTGGAGAAACCTCCTCGTCCTTTGGAAAAACATAAGGGAAGATGTTTTATATAGCTTCGTTCATTTGCAGAGTGTTGTTTTCAAACTAGTAGTGGTGTTACTTTTTAAATTGGCTTTTTGATTGGTAATTGGAGTATTTTCTGTATTTATCTCTTTCATGATTGACACATCCAGTTTCCAAATGGATTGTGCTGTAGCGGGTGATGTCATACTGTATTTCCATGGACGATATCAGTATGAGTTTCTAGATTTTCTAGATCAAAAGACAATGAATTCTCCTTGCAGCACTTCTTAGAAGTGCGAGCACAATACCTCCAGAATGTTTTGTCTGCCAGGTATATGATATTCCTGAGATGATAAAGGGCTTTATTAAAGTCAGAATATACTGTAGAATGTTAAACAGGCCTTACAGATGTAAAAAAGGTTTAATTAATATATAACTTATCAAAAGGAAAAGGTGTAGTTAAACATGGGTTAATGTCATCTGACATAATCCAATTTTTGGATTGTGCTCCTTAGTATGCCTTTCGCTGACTGTTTTGGTTGTGTGTTTTCATGCTAGAATGGATGTAGTTCTGCACTACTTTTCTTAAGGAAGCTTCACCAGGCATCAAAACCAAGGCTGACCCTATGCCTTTTGAGCCCAAAAGCAACCAATGATACTGCAATCTCATCATTGTTTTATAGAGTAATTAATTTTTTTCTGATCTGACTTGGAAAGTGGCATACTGTAGAATATCACTGGACCGTGAACCTTTTCAATAACGCAGGTCACAACGACTTTGGTACAGTTCTATAACTTACCATGAATACATGCTAGGATCTCTTCTCTAATTGAAGTAATAAGCAGTAATATACATATAAAGTAATAAACCTTCTAGCCTGGAAAAATCTGCATCACTACAGTGTGGCAATCCCCCATCCTGCAAGAAAGTGAAGTAGATTTTTTAAAGTATATTATTACTCTTTTTCCCTTTCAGCTGTCTCGCTAAGCAGTGAGAATGTGAAGTAACACATGGGCTGCTTTTATGGCCAGTGTCAAGCTCCAGGCAGTATTACACAATTAATCCCCTTTAATTTCTCTTATGTGTTTGAGGCCTTGGAACTGCATAGCCATATTGAAATAAAAACAGCCCCTAATCTCTGCCAAGATGTGTGGGATCGTTTTCCCTGCACAGCCTGCAAGAAATGGCAGAACAAAATGAAATGTTTCAGAAGGAAAACATTGTGCACTTTTTGGGGGTTAAAAATTGTCTACAAAAGACCAATCAAACTAATGTTGATGGTGCATGGAGGTAATATGCTTCAAAGCAGACTACTGCCAAATATGTAATTCATTTCCCTCTTATTTTCAAAATGCCTTTACCAGATTTAGACTCATATCATGAATCAGGATGCCCAAGGTATAGTTACGATGTGAAAATGTGTTACATTCATTTTGCCCTTATTCCTTTATTCCATTGAAATTTAAGCCAGTGCATCTCAGAACCAAAAGTCTTTGTGAATTAATTTTATATAACTTCAGTGAGCTTCCTATTGCTCTGGCAGGTTGTGATACTTTGTAGCATTGAAAGATGTATTAACAGGAGGCCTAATTAAATGTTTTTGGTGGAAGTGATTGGTTTTCAGCACTTGATTTGGTTTTGAAAACCATAGTCATTTTTTACAAACACATTTAAATAAAAATGACTTGTGCTTGAGTTGCTTTCAACTTTTGTGAGTTCCAAAGTTTTGTGCTCATTGTGCTTATGTTTTTGATCATCAGATTTCAGAGAAGAGTTTCAAAAGGTGAAAATATCACTTGAAAAAAATGACTTTTAAAATAGATACTTTAAGATAATAATAATAGATACTTAGAGGAGGGACTGTATATTACAGTTTATGAATGTATGTACTGTATACATCTGGCTATTATATTGGAAATTAATGAAACAGAAAATCATTAAACTCTGTTTTAGCCACTGTAATTGACTATTGAAGGGTAATTCCCTGATTTTACATCTAATATAAAATGTATAGAAAGTATTGTTACAAGCCAGTTTTTTATGTAACATTTTTGTGTTTTGTGTTTCCAAATAAATACAATAATGTACTGTTTCCTATTGTGTTCTGTGCCAGGAACATTATTACTGACTTGTGGAATGAAAGCCTTGATTTAGTGACATGCAGCATTTTTGGAAGGTTTTTGAAAAAGGGAACAAGGCAATGTGGACAAAGTTTAAATGAAATTCACTGCTTTTCCCTTTTTACACAAGCATGGTGAAAAGCTGTTTTGAAAACATCTCCTGTAAGCTTTGCCAGCCAAACGAAGGCAGCAGGGGGTGATTCATTGCCTGAAACGGGCAAACAGGAAGAAAACGTTTGGAAGATGAGGACGGGACAGGACAGGCCAGAGAAAACAATAAGGCAGTTTTGTTGTCGGTTCTTTGCATCTCACCAAATTAAATATATTGAGTAACTGCTGGTAAATGTTTCCTTCTGTGGTTTTAGAGTAAAAATTTGTATTTTTGCTTTCTGTCTCCACAATAATGAAAATGTGTGCTTGCCTTATACCATTTATAAAGGCTACAGGTCCTGTGCGTTTTCTCAAGTTGCTGGGTAGCAGTGACCTAGACTCATCCAAGTTGCAGTGCATTGTTGAACCCTATTGTTAAAGCACAGAGGGGAGTGCGGAGCATAGTGTGAGAGTTGATGTGTGCTTCCTGGATAGGGTGCTCTGAGAGGTGGGTGTACTGGAGAAGTCTTGGTGAATAATTCTCTCCACGCAAGTACAAGAGTAGTCATTGTGAACCAAGACCTTGAAACAATTTGCGATTCCCAGTTGCATGATGTAATAACAATAGTAATTAGACGAAATGTCTAAAAAGCTCTTCCAAGCTCACGGACAACCTATGGACGACTACATTTTCTCTGTTTTCTGACTGGGAAAGGGGACGACTTTACTTGGGGCAGGTCTTCACAAACCTCTGGCTTAAGGAGGACTCCATTTCAAGCCATAACTGATTGTTCCTCCCACTGAAAACACACATGAAAGCGAATATGAATATATATATATATGTTTTAGATGTGAATTTTGAAATCTGACGATTGATAAGGCCTGGAAAGATCTTTAGCTCAAGTGTGGAGGCTTGTGTTGTGTGTGCCTGCAGACTCAGCGTGCAGCGGGTGAGAAAGCCGCGATGCTGTAAGGGCGCTCGGGGACTCCTGCCTCGTTTCTCTGCCACGCAGGCCGATGGACAGGAGCAGCTCTTTCGTCTCACCGACAACATCCACTCTGAATTGTGAGTACCCACTCTTTTTCCACTCTAGGAAAGGAAGCAAAGCCTCTGTAGTTGGTATCTTCTTTTCAATTATTTTTCAAAGGGTCATACAATTTTCCTGGCATCGGCAATTACATTTGTCAGTGTGTGGAAAGCTGACAAGCGAGAAAATGCAAAGAAAGCCGTATTTTAAGCGAAAAGCACAAAACTTTGTAACAGGGTGGTCTCCATTAAAGATGATAATGAAAGTTTAACACAGCTGTTTTATTCCTTGCTTTTCTTCATGCACAATAAAAAATACAGAGAGAATAGAATTGTATTAAGGTTTTTTTTGCATTGCATTTTCTTCATCAACATTTCAAAATAGTGGCACAGGTGAGATTGAGTTCTGCCCTGTTTCAGTCAGCACAGTAATTACTATTGCATTTACTTCTGGGGAACAGTGATCATTTTGTCATTGTAAATTTCCAACGTCAAAGGTCAGCTTGTGTTAGCACAGTGAAGGGTGCCCAAGGGACGGACGTTCAGACATTCATTCTCTTATAATTTATTGCTTGAGTTTCATATTCTAATTCTGCTTAATGCTTGTCTACATTTTCCAAATTCAGCCATGGTATGTTCCTAAGCTGCTATATTCAAAAAGATGCTTAAATCAAATTGCTGTGCCTGCATAACATGTTAAAATGTAACATTATATTTCTATTTCTGAATCTGCTGCAGAATTCTTTATAAAGCAATAAGAAATTAAGTGCAGTGATGCCTGCTTTTTGGTCTTCCTAACCAAATGTTTTTTAAATAGACATCCAAAAAGATATCGTGGACAATTTTTTAAATTGTTTCAGACAAGTCCTGTATAAAATCTGCCAGTTAGGTATTCAGATAAATCTGTTCCGTTTTATATTAGGAAGAACATGTACCCTGTTTAAAAACATCTAGGATTAAACATTCTAGGCTCTTTTAGTGTTTACATGAAAGAAGTAACTTTAGGAAATCTACCTGTATAGCAAAATCCCGAATGTCTCAAGACGAGATTTCTTCAGGGGGGAAAATCAGAGAGAAGAGAGGCTGATGGGAGTCATCAGTCATTAGCGCATTGTTTGGCTTGCCCTGCACACTCCCAGACATCCTCAGTGCCGAGCCTGAGAAAGCTCATTTGTCACCTCGCAAGCTAATTAATCCAGATAGGCAAGCCCCCTGCTTCCCCGCTGACCTTTCACCCTTTAGGTGTTAAACAGGCAATTACTCTTTAGCTTCTGTGCGTGCAGCCTGCTGCCGTGTGTGTGGCGGTGCACATGGCGTGGCGGCCGCGTGTTCCCGGGCACGCGTGCCTGCCCTCAGCTGCACGGCGTCGGAGGGCTGCGCGGGCTGCTCGCTTCGGCCTGCGAGGCGGCGCCCGTGTGTGTCCTCGTTGCTTCTTCTGACGCTGCTTACTGCGCTCGACCATTAGCGTGCGACCATCTGGACCTCGCTGATTAGCAGGAAGAGAGACAGAGAGGACGTGTCAATGATTCACTCGTCATAGGATCACAGAGAGCCATTCCCAGTGCGGGTCTGGAAGCCTCTCATATATGCAGCAAGAAACACCTGATTGCCTTTGTCACATTGCAGCTTACACATATTGTATTCGGAACTAATTATTCTAAGAGACGCTTTCAAATTCACATATTAATGCAAGCCTTTTCTTGTGACTCCTAATGGTTTGTGTTCATACAAGAGCCAAACCAATGATCCAAAACCAAAGGCTTATCTCCACTGTGATGGAATGCGGTGGCGGTTCTGGAGAAAAGTGGACAGGAAATCGTTTATTTAGAATTAATCACAGAAGTTTGACCTTATTATAACATCTTACACCTGCATTTTCGTATTTTCTTTCCTATGTAATATATTTTGCTTTTGATCTTGCTGTCAGTTCAACATCCACTATTTGCCGTGTTATTGCTGCAGTGAATTACTGGCTCTGCAGAGTGAATGGTGCAGTTTCAGGAAGCCTGCTTCAGGAAACCCAGATAGAAGCTGTTTTTAACAAAGTAGTCAAGATGGTAAATTACCTATCACCCCAATAAGAAGTGACAGAGAATAAGAATTTAATGGATATAGTAGTCTACACAACAAAAAATGAAAAGGGCTGATGCAAATGGCTCGTTTAATGGGATGCAGCCATAAATTCCAGATTAGAAGCCTCATTTTATTTCATAATTATTTCCTGACATGACTGAATCCCTTTATGCCTTGACCATGTCTTGTATATTAACATAGCTATCCTATTAAATTTACTAGGAACTAAAATTTATATTGTGCATGCAAATGGTTAGAGAACACATTCCTTTTGTAAGGTTTAACAGACTCTGAATGCTATTATGTGCTTTATTTGTAACCATTCAGAACCTTTAGAGGCTTTAACCCCTCTTTTGTCTATCTAGCTTCATAGCCGTGGAGCCCATTGATACGTACTGCGTCCTCATTTCCTCCAAAATGGTGTACTTCCTGAAGCCAGGAGACTATGTGGAACGTGAGGCCATCTTCCTGGAAGTCAAGTACGATGACCTCTATCACTGCCTGGTCTCAAAGGATCATGGGAAGGTTTACATACAGCTCACCAAGAAAGCAGAGAATACCAGCAGTGGTGTGGCTATCCCTGGACCCTCACACCAAAAGCCAATGGTGAGTTTTAAAGGCCTATGTCAGTGTGCTATATTTGCAGTGACTATTTTTAGCTTGAATTTGGCTCTTTAGCAACTGATATTTGTGCAGGAGACCTGGGTTTGAAATGTGTAGAAAGAAACATGCATCCTTACGTAAATGGAGATGAACTCTGTGTAGAGTCTGATATTAAGGCAATTAACAGCAATGCAAAATTTGCCAGAGAACTGATTGTGAAATTTGTCTTTACAGACGTCACACATTATTGTCACTTAATAAACACAGAACAGCTTTTCCCTCCTTCTTATTTACTTTTAAATCTGTTTAACAATTGAAATTGATTAAATGTTACCTTGCAATCCGTATTATTAATTTCTTCCCTGAGCTGTTTAAGATAAATCCTTCTTTCTCTCACAGGTTCATGTGAAGAGTGAAAGCCTAGCAATTAAAATCTCTCAAGAAATTAATTACGCCAAGAGCCTCTACTACGAGCAGCAGCTAATGCTGCCACCCAATGAAAATGAAGAATACCTAGAGCTGGATTCTTAAAAGACCAATCAGCGGGCAGGCAAGTTTGTTTGGGACATGACTGGAAGTAACCAACCAGTGGTAAGGCCATCCTGAAGGCATCCAATCATGAGAGAGAACCCAGACAAAACACAGGATCTCCAGAACAATGGCCGGGGAGGGGCTGGAGGGGATAATGGCACCATTTTTCATCCCAAGTGTCATTGTTTTTTCAAACTCTGTTTAGCTCTCTTGCACAGACTGAATGCAAAATCTGAGAAGCACAGCTGAAGAAGTTGAAATCAAAGATTATGCAAAGAGTCTTATTTTATTGTATTCTGTGTTTTGCAGCAGAAAGGGAGATTGGGAAAGAGATCATATATATTTTATTTTACTAAACATTGTTTATAAGATAAAGATATTATAACACTATCAGCTTTGTAAATATCTGTGAAAAAGTGATGGAAATATGTATGAAGTACTGGAATTCAGGAATGCTGTATAAAGCTGCCTTTTGATGTTTTTTTTTGGTGTACAGTCAAAGTGAGATGATTGGAGATGTCAAAATCAACTTCTTATTGGGGAAAACAAATAATTGCACTGATATTGTACTGATGTATGTGGTAGAGCCTGTGCTAAGTGATGCCACACTTCCTAGTGCTAGGATAGGGTTTTTTTTTTTAGAAATGAAGAATCAGGCCAAAATTGAACAAGACGTAGATCAATGAAAAAATGTTTGTAGTCATGCAGCAGGGGTATGGTGGGATGAGATCACAGCCCAGGGACTAGGTATCTGCCCTGTGCTGTCTGCTGGAAGCTCATTTGCAGCTGGAACTTGCAAGTTCTTGACTGGGTTCCACAGATTTTAGAACTCTTTCATTTTTTGCCTTGGTTTTTTTTTAATAAAGAAAACATGCGAGGCAATTTTTGTTCTGTTGCAGAGTGCTCTGCTGTTCTAGCAGAGTCTGTCTTTCCAAAAAGGTTTTCAAGAATCATATTTTTACATAGTCATGCACCTTGTTCCTTAGACATTGTAGAACATGAATGAAGTCACTTCTGTACCGTTTACTAAAGCTGTAGTAACTGCCACGATAAAAGCAATTCAGTGATTAGCCTGAACCAAGATCTGTTTTTTGTTGCCAGGATATAACTTGCATTCTTTTTTAGACTTGAATTTAGAGTTTTCCTGGTGACATTTTCTGTGGCACAGTCTCACTCATTTTTCTTTTAGCTGTTCTAGTCAAAGTCTCTTGAATTATGTATTGTCGTGTTGACTCAAAAAACAAAAGAAACTGTACTGACAGCTTAGAAAATGGTATGAGGTCATCTCTTGTCTGATACTTCTATTTCCTGGACATTGAAGAAGACCAAAGTAATTTCTCTTGTATACAGTATTGAAACACTACACTGTATTTAGTTTAATCCAACAATATTGAATCCCAATCTACAGCCCACAAATACAAAGCAGTATGATGTTACAGCTTTAGTCATCACGGTATCTCTTAGAAATGTACATACCAGGTACTGTTCCCTTAAGAAAAAAACAAAACAATGACAATTTAGTGTTTCCCTAATTATGTTCACAAGAGCAGTCAGTGGTGTTAAGCAAACATAATTCTTTTTCTTTGTAAAAAAAGAAACGTGGTGGAAATACCTTTGTGTTTCAGTAATCTACACCAGCGTTTTTCAGTGTGCTGTTATTACTGCTGGAACGGCAAAAGACTGACACCTCTGTCAGTTGTACTCCTTTAGCTGGGCGTCTTACAGGTCTTTGGCTTTGTGTGCAAAAAGACCACATCAAGAAAATGTAAAGTTCCATGTTTCAGTCGTTGTTTTCATTGTTGTTTTGTTTAATGTGGCAAATGACCATGGCCTTGGTAATGATTGGGTTTGAATTGATTATAATTAAAAGGATGAAACGGAGGCAACATCTGGCATCCACTTCAGTAGTAACAGGAATTACAGATGTTTTGCAAAACCTAATGTGCAGCCCTGAAACCATTAGCTCAGACTCTTTCGTAGGACCACAACAATTAAAAAACGTTGCATCTTGCCCATTAACCGCTTAGGTTGAATTGAGCTTACAGTTTGCTGGAAGGGGGGGGGGAAGCATTGGGTTAGCTGGGGGCTAGTGGAATTACGCAACAAATGCAGAAACAGTTTAGCAATAAATAACATGCTAGAGATCACAGACAATTTGACTTGTTTAAAATCATCCAAGTCCTGATCTGTTGACTGATGTCCCCCCCCAAATTAATGATGATGTGAAATCCATTGTGTAGAAGTTCCCCCCCCCCCACACTTTTCTCCTGCTGTTTTCTGCTGCAGCTTGTTTTCGTGTTCATTCTGTGTGTGTTGGCTTCCTTGTCCCCATACCAGCCTCCTACTAAAGAGGCTGTTTCACACAGTAATTCAGTTACACGATTCTTGCAGCCTACATACTAAAAACTCCTTTGTAAATATTAAAGCAAACACATACACTAATTTCACTGGTTGGCTCACAGTGCACAACGCCTACATTTTAATCCTTCCTGCTATAGGTAGAATTACTTGGCAGTAAAAGAGAAGCAATGTGCATTGAGGCTTTGAATTCTGAAGAGGCCATTCATTACTGCATGCAATTGCAAAACTATTCTTTTAGGTGCAGGTTTTACTGTGATCTGGTCTTCCAATAGAGCATAGTAAAAGAAATGAACAAGTTTCAATTATCTGTTTTGAAGATTGGTGTATTTCTGTCACATGTTTGCGTCAGCGCCTTGATAGAGTGCATTCTAACATAAGCAAAGCATCTGACACGAGGAGTTCTTCCATCCTTTCTCTTATATAATTTTTCTAAATTTCTGCAATCTGCTTAATATCGATGCTTCTTCTGCAGCTGCTTATTCCATAGACCTGCTATAGTATATAGTTTCTGACAGACAGAGAGATGAGGCACAGGGCAAAGTACAGGGCCACACCAGACAAAATGGATGAACCCTTCATTACTGGGTTAAGATCTGAATTACTGGTACTGAATTACATCCCCAAATAACTTGCTCAGCAATAGTAGTGGAGGTTTTGAAAGAAACCACAGTCTTTATGGAAAGTCTTTCCTTGCAAACCCCTTAGAAACCGGAACAAAAAGCAGTTGAAGAGTATCATCCAGATCGTGTATCATAGCAAAAATTACTCAAGGATCCAGTCACAAGTGCGAGTGATGTCAATTCCTAGTTCAATTTTGTTTTAAAAAGCTTAGAAGTCAGATCTTGCGGAATTGGTATGCAACATGAGCTATTGCAGTCACAATCACTTTAAAAGTTGATTTTTCCTTCTGATGATCAAATAAGGAGGTCTATCTTCGAATATTTAAAGTTCACTCAATTTCTTGGCTGTTCTACAAAGTAAACATTTAAAGAAACATTGTCAAGTAGGCTACCCATGTACTCACCTAAAAGAAAAAAGATAGTGATCGATTCTGGTGCAAAGCTGAACTGCAGTTTCCTAGGAACATACACTGTACTACTGTATGTAGGCTTTATTTGAACAGAAGTTTTACTTTGACGTTTGTCACTACTGAACCATCCACCTTGTATAGCTCAAACCACTGATTTAAATAAATACATTTTCTACTCTTATCAAATGTACAGACTATAAAACTTAATAATAAAATGAAGTATTTAAAACTGCAGGTTTGTGACTTGTCACTCTGTGTATGCCTGATACATATACGATTAACCACTTTTAAATCTTTATTCTCCCACAGATTAGTTAGCCTGTTGAAACTACCATATACTGAAAGTGTGCAGATTGGAACAGTGAACTCTGGTACACATGAAAAGGATGGCACAAAATACATTTCTAGGAGAAGTGACAGTGATCTGCGAGAAGCTCTATACAGTTTAGCCAGAAGGGAGCCAGTGTAGCTCTCTGTTGTGTACTACAGTATTATTGTATATGGTCCCATTAATGTGTACCAAATGACAGTGTTCCAGCACACTTTATCCTGCGGTGAATCATCAGCAGTCTTCCTGGGGAAGTTCCACTTCAGCATGGACTGTGTGTGTCTTCACAAAGATCTTCTGCGTAATTCATTTACCAGGGTTATTTTTGGTAATCTTGAACCGTGCCAAAAGACAATTAATTTCGAATTGCCCACTTTGTGTTCAATCTAATTGCATGTCAGCGTGGGTTCAAAAGCAGTCCTAATTGCATGGTCCACAAAGGCAGGAAAGGCAGGGCAGAGCTCTGTGGGCTTTGCAGCAGTCAAAGAAACAATGATGCCAGTGTCAGCGACAGCCAATTTTTGGTTCAAGTGGCACTGCATTATAAAAATGTCAAAATGTGTTTCTCTGCAAAAGCACTGCTTTCTATTCAGCCCTTATCCTGTTCCTTGTAGCAAGCAGTTCTTTTTAGTTGTTTTTAATCAGTGTTCTTGGTCTTAATTAGATAAGCTGATACATTTTATTAATGAGTTACAATATTTTTTGAAAAATTTAGTACTTTGCCATGTGGTCATGGTTAAACCTCCCATTACATCATATCTGGAAACAATAGAGCTACGTTTTTTTTTATGATAATATTTTAAAACATAGATGATTTTTGTACGTTTCTCAGAATGGATTTCTCTCAGGCCTTTCCTTTACAGGTGTGTTGCATGTATGTTCATGCGTGCTGTTTTCCGGTCTACTGTTGACTGAATGCAACACTGACAGTTATATGACAAGAAAATAATTTGATTCATCATCCATTGCGTTAGCCCAAGACTAGTAGTTGGTTACTAAATTTAATTCCTTGGGAATTCAGTGAAAGTAACTGTAGCTGACAAATTCTGGCTTGTGTTGACCAGCTGTATTCTCTTTTCAGACGTGGAGGGCATGAATGTCTTCCACTCCTCCCCTGCCTAATTTCTCTTTTTGATTGACAGTTTAATGAGGCCAAAAGGGGTCGACCCCTAACTGGGGGGCAGCTCAGGGCCCGTTTGTCTCCCAGGACTGAACCACACGTGCTGCCCAGTGATGAATGAGCCCCGTGCCCTTTGTTGACTGGCCGTTAGGACAGCTAATTCAAACAGATGTGGTAAGAAAAGGAGGTTCTTCTATTTAGTTGATGTAGAGACACAGGAAAGAACACACCTCCCCAGTGAGCCTTGGAGGATCTTGGGGCAGCAGACTGTACAATATTATGAGGCAAAAACAAAACTGGTTTAACCACATTGGTAACCAGATTAAGATAAGGAAGCTTCAGGAGGAAGTTAAAAAGACCACAAATCTGGCAGAAGCTTAATGCCGAGACCAGAGATTAAGAGATGTTGTTAGTCTAGTTGTTTGGCAATGGCTGCAAGTTATATTTAAGCAACTAAACATAATACATGGTCAAGACTGCCACTGGATAATTTTATAAAGTCACATTTTTCTGTTTAGATTTGTTGAAAAGTGGTTTGTTTTAAAAATTCACTAGGATTAGTGCATATTGCCATCCGTGAATTTAGTATGCTATCATAACATAACATTTCTCAGTTTTAAAAAAAAGAAGACCAGAAGAATTTATGATTTTATTTCTCTTAGAAATACATAGTCTAAAGCAAAAGTGTGGGAGCCAGCATGCCTACTGTTGGAGGCGTTTGTTAAATTACTTCCATCTTCTCATCAGCTGCAGGCACTTTTCCACAGATTACATCATTTCCATTCTGAGATTGAAATAAGTGGATTGCTGGGTATTGGAGAGTTTGGTGTTCAGAGCAGGGCTAAACTTTCTGGATCTGACAGCCAGGAAATTTAGTGTCAAAGGAATCCCAGGACTGGAGAATATGAGAGCCAGAAAACCCTGTCCAGTTGGGATTTCATTTCTCAGTAACTGAGACTTAAAACTAAGCAAATTAACTCCAGCATAGAGCTCACAATCTGTGTGCCAGATAATTGAGCACAGATACTGTAAGCCTCTGTTGTAGATCCAGGAGCTAAGAAAATGTAAAGAACTGGGGATATGCGCTATTCAATACCCTTATAATTTTCTCCGTACAGAGCGATTTTTGCAGATAGAAAGGCCAGCATTGAACTGCGCCAATGCCTTATTGTGTATTTTACTCTTTACCTTTCAGCACAGAATTAACCTTCATTTGTTCCATTAATTGGTTGACCTTTATACTGTAGCAGTTATACTCTTAAATCATTCATATTAAGTTCTCTAATCCTGTACTTCTCAATGGAGGTGCAAGTTTTGGGACACAAAAAAAAATTGTTGTATACATGTTCAAAATACAATCGCCAAATGATTCTTGACATTTTGATTTGTTGCAACAGCTCCTGTGCTGCATTGCGAGTATTAAGATGAGGGAATGAACCCCTTCATATACCCACCCTTTGAGACATTTATTTAGTGTTTGAAGGTTGAATCTCTCTGTGGTGACACTGCAAGCCTGCAAGCAGGATTGTCCAGTCTTGATCCCAGAGAGCTTGTGTGTTTGTAGGGTTTCAGTGCCTTTTTAAACTAGGAGTACCTGAAGAATAAAGTGGACCATTTAAATCACTAACCAGCTGGCTTAGTTCATATTCAGTCTTCTTATTTATCGTTATTGTCATCCTGTAAAGCGCTTTGAGAAGCCACCTTTAAAGGCGCTATATAAAATAAAGTTTATTATTATTATTATTAAGAACTGGGTTGGAATGAAAACCTGTAGAAACCTGTAGCACACCAGGCCAGGATTGAACACCTGGGATATACCTTATGTAAAGATTCCATCTTTGCATTCATCTATTTCTACCCACTTCCCCCAATTCACGGTCACAGCGAGCCAGAGCCTATCCCAGCAAACAATGGGCACAAGGCAGGGCACAGCCTAGACAGGACGCCAGTCTGTCACAGGGCACACACATTCATGGACACACAAACACTCACACCAGGGCCAATTTTCCCAGAATCCAATTAACCTACCATCATGTCTTGGGACTGTGGGAAGAAACAGGAGCACTTGGAGGAAATTCGCGTGAATAGGGAGAACTAATTCCACACAGAAAACGCCCAGTAGTTCTGTGTCCAGTAGTTGAATGCTAACCACTGTGCCACTGTGCTGCCCCTAGTTCAAAAACTTAGATCTCAAAATACAAAGTAACAATTATATTTTTATTCTTAACACTTATATCTTTTAGTGTTCATAAATATGAGAGTTTCTGTTTATCTGTTACGGACATTATCACTATACCCAAAAGATAAAATTCACTCACAGAGGGGGTACTGTGTGTAAACCCACTTGTTCTGATAAGACATAAATGCAATCAGTAAAGCTGCATGCAGATACTTAGAGCAGAATAATGAACTTTCTGTGCAGCAATTCTAATTTTTCCAATGAACAGAAAATAAGGCAAAAGGCTGCCTTGTCTAGACTATGTCTTTACAAAAATCTGAATGTACTTTTAATTATATCCATTTCATGAGTTCATAAGTGATGAATATTAAACGTTTGAATGCTTATCAGATGTGTAAGCGGAGGCAGTCTCTCGCTGTGTCTGATGACGTTGAGCGAACATTGACTCGTGATCAAATGGCAGATCTGCCACCGAAGTGCTTATTTAACAGATTTTTTATTCTTTTTAATTGGTATTGTTCACAACAGAAATGGTCAATTTCCCATTCGTACAAGTGGAACAAATGTAGTGCTGGGCTATGGCCTGTTAACAGTAGTGACTTAAAAGGTATTTCTATGTTCTTGTTATAACAGCACTCTTAACTGTAATGTGCCCGGTTTGTTTTGTACAACATTAACAGGATCGTCTCCCTCAATGCCCTCCAGGTGGTCAGCACTATTGTAGACCGCTGTACCATCAGCAAAGAGGTTGGTTTTCAAGAAGTCCCAGAGGTGACTCACAATAAAATCCCTCAGCTTCTGGAGCATCAGGAAGCCTGAGCAGATCCCAGAGACTCGTTTCAGGAAAGTGCAGTGGAAAAAAGGAGAGCAGCAGCTGGATTACTGTCATGCATGCATTCTCACTAAGGCCCTTGCCAGTTCTGTCAAGAGAGAAGATATCTCCTTGTGGACAGCCTCACGTCTTCCAAGTCAGCCACAATGCAATATTCATCTCTTCCTCGTAAAGAAAGCACTTTCCCCTGAAATCATAATCTTTTGATTTGATTCTGATTTCCAGAATATCATCAAAAATGCACTGAGGGTTTGAAAAGGTAAGCGCCCCCTCATCCCCCACTCCACCCCAGTTTTGGTTAGCAATAAGGTTCATGGGAATGTGTGTCCCGGCCATATGTTCACTCAAACAGTGGGAAACCCAGACTGGAAACTGTATCATGCCCCCACACACACACCAAACCAACACCCCTTTTCCACCTGTGTTTGGGCCCACAAAGCAGCATGTTTCACTGGGTGAAGAGTTCACCACAGGGTGAGCTGTCTGTTGAACATCCTTACCTAATTTATCCACTGTTTGGCTAACCTTGTTCTGAACTCCCCCCAGAGACCTGAGCTGTCTTTCTAAAGCCTTCTCTCTTGCGCACACACACAAACATACACATACTCGGCAACAGACTCCCTGTCACTATCCAATTCGGATACACTTTGGAAAAGTCATCGCCGGCCCAAGATAAGCTCTCTGGGAGAGTTTTTTTTCCCTGATGCATGCTTTCCTTGAAGCTTAAAGACAAACAGCAGTCCGTATCTTCACCGTAACCATCTCCAGGTTTCCGATACAGTTCACATACCGCGCTCAGTGGGAGGCTTGCTTAAAGGCTTTGTAATCACACGGAAAGTATTTTTGGTTCGCTTAACTTCAAATTACGATTACGGGTCTTTCCTTTAATCGCCAAGAGTCGCCTGCTTTCCCCTCAGTTGTTATTGTTTGGCACTGAATCATCTGCACTTGTTATTGAAACATCAAGAGGTGCATAATCAGGCATTGTTTTCGGTCACCCTCTCTATGTACTGGTATCTTTGCTCCTCGTCAGCCATACATTACGATTTGAGGATATTCATGTCTTGTTCTAAACTTATATCCTCATTTAAGTGTTTTTTCTATTCAAGCTTGTAAAATCTTAAAAGCCCTAACAATTAGGAGAAGAAATACATCCCAGTAATCTGCAGTATAGTCATGCAGGCACCACTAAAGCAGCATTTCATAACATGAACATCTTAAAAGGCCAAACAAAAGCACTACAGCATGCAAAAAGAATTTGGACTGCGCACAAGTCACTAATTGTTCGACTAAGGGAAAAGCCAAGAAGATCTGAGATTGAAGTGTTTAAAAAATTCAAAGCTTTGTGTTCTATCTGTAAGATAAAAGCTTGCCTACACCTGATCTTGAGCGGTTCTGTAGTAACCTAATCCACTTGAACGATTCTATTTAGTGCTTACTACAAAGGTTACTAACAGACCTTCTAACATGCACAGTTAGGAGAAACAGGTTTTTGACATTTAAAATTGTTAGGTTTTCCACATAGGTAGCTTATAAAGTTAGCCCATTCAAGAAGCTATTTCATGTACTGTACACTATGCAGCAATGGTATTTGAACACAAACATGCATCTTTCAATGGGCAATAAAAGTGGACATTTAGCAGCACATTTCTGGACTTGGGTGCAATGTCCTTCCCCACAATACCAGTTGTACAGTACGTGCACTGTATTTCACAGCACAATGCGGGGTTCTCTTGATACATCTGTTTGAATAGGCCAACCAACTTTATGTAAACAGCCCCATTTCATTTCTGGTGCCTGAATACATTACACATATTTATATGTCATATATTAATGACATCAGTCACACTCCAATTAAGTCTGTTTAAACAACCGTGACATAATTTGTTCACTGTACAAATTCAATTTCTATGGTAACCACCCACAGATGTGATTTTTAAGGCAACAGAAAGAGAAAGCTGTGATTGTTTACTTGAAATGTTGCTTTGGAAGTCATATCGGCTTGAGGATGAATAAGATGTTTGAGAAAAATGTATTTAGAGCAAACACCATCTAGAATTGAAACAAACTGAGCTGATAAGGAATGTAGCAAGCTGCAGTTCGCCACACAAGAAGATAATCCTGAGTGGGATGGCCAAGTAGTGACCTCTGTACTATGTGAATGACAGCTGAAAGTAACATTTTTCTCCACAATGAGAGAAACAGACCTCATACCGATTTATCCGACCATGTGCTGCATTCAAATTAAATGTCTCTTCATCCAACACAATGTGAATGGTCGAGTGATGAGATGGTCACATCAGATCTAAAAGATAAAGAGTTTTTGTTGTTGAAGGTCCTGCATTGCCAAGTAATGACTTTATTACTGGACCCAGGGAAGGAGAACAGCTGGCTGGAATCATCATGTAAATGAGACTTCATGAGGCTCTGATGCCTTAGATCTCTGTTCCAAATTGACAGATGTAGAGAGACAAAGTCATTGGAGTATTTCACCTCTAATTTGAGCTTTCTCTTTCAGCAGCTAAAACGGCTAATTGGGTGACCTTGGTGAAAAAGAGAGGGAGGGTGGGATAGAGTTGGACTCTTAGCCAGAGGCAGTAGTACTAGTGGCTACAAAACCCTGCTCCCCCATGCACCCCTGAAGTACAGTATCTTTCCTATCCTTGAAACCTGCCAAACATTTCTGATCCTGGCAAGATTATTGCTGGTATTGCCATAGTGGTGTAAACAGAGCATTGAACTGGACTTACAACAGCTCTTTACTTGATTTTAATAGCAAACGAATATAAGAAGAGGCAGCGTTCAACTTTTTAAAAACTTTTTTATTATTTAATTTAGACATACAACACATGTTGAGCTTACCTAATTAAAAACAAAATGAGCAAATTTAAACAATGTGCTTTACAGGGCTGCCCTGCAATAAATCAGAAAGCAAATTAAAACAAAAAGCACAAATCTACTTTAAAAAAAAACAGTCCATGTATACAACCCACTGATTTCTGAGTGGGCAGAGTTCTTGTTAGCACAAAGTCAGCATAGATGCCTGCTTTTCAGTTTCTATATTAATTCCATGTTCAGTCACTGGTTCCACAACCCAAAAACTTCAACAGTGCCTGGAAAAACATTGAGGGTCTTTTCTGGGGGTAAAGTCCAGAAAATAAAATCAATCAGGTATTTTTTTTTAAAAAAGACATTGACCTGTAGTAGCATCTAAAGATAATTGTCACCAAGCATACAGATACTGCCTCAGGACACGTAGCCATTCCAGAGAAAAGCCTCTGCAAGTCCAGATTTTTCTCATTGTCCACCATCTTGAGCTTTTCACTTTAACAGTAATCAAGGTGCCCAACGTTTCCTTGTCCATTAAGAGTGGATTTCCGTATGTTAATGTCTTCACATTGTTCCAATTCTTGGCTTTTTCTACCTCCTATGTCCGGCCTTTGAAAGTGTTCATGCAGGTGTAGCTGCCTGAGAACCTGTGAATTTCTTCAAGTGCTTGCTGTGGAATAAAGCTGCAGACAAGAGAGAAAACAGAATTTAAGAGTTTTTCAGATTCAGATGTCAGGGGAACAATGCTTTTCCCAGCGGGAAATTTTGACGAAATGAAGAGAATTGAGCATTTGTCATTTTCTTCACACATTCCCGCAGAGTTCAGCCAGCTTACCTTTTGAGTATGACAAGGGCGTGCATCGTCCAGGGCAGATAGAGAATGGCAGTGTTTGTCCTGACAGCCTCCACAGTGCGCCTGGCCACAGTCTCTGGCTTTAGAGGAGGGAACAGATTTGGGAATCTGCAGCCCAGGAACAAATGAAGTTAGTTTCTCTGCCCAGATTCCTTGTCTGATTCTATATAATATTACACCATGCATTACACAGTTCTCAAAAATGGGATGATTAAAATATGCCTTGTAAAACTTTTTTTGGAACATGCCATTTATATGAGGACTTAATTATACACAGACTCACAACAAATATAAAATTATTATTCAGAATATCGTATTACCCTACCATTTACGTCTCATCTTAATTATGAGTGCCCTTTAAAATAATCATAATTTCAAAATCACGGACCTCACAAAAAAATGTAACCTAATAATAAGTTGTGTTCAAAGCAGCTTAAGAATACCTCTTTATAGGAATGTCTCCAAACACTGTTTTCCTACATCAAACATAAACAGTTGAGAAATATTTTGCATGTTTGTGGATTCACTGACATGTTGGAAAGGACTTGGAGAATCTTCTCATCGTGTGCCGTGTCAGAAACTGTTTTGAGAAATCATTATATGAAAGTGAAATCTCGCAAGACATAATCAAAAGCTAAGGCTTTGCAGAGCACTTCTGCTTCGCCAGCTGCTATGTTATGGTTGGATATCTCCTTCTGCTAGAGGCTCTGCTGACATGCTTACAATTTTAATATGGTTTCTCATGGTAAGGAAAGTTAATTCAAGCAAACAACACTTGGGGCTCCGGGTTCACTTCCTGACCTGGGGTTCTATTTGCTTGGAGTTTATATCCCCAAGTGTTCATGTGGGTTTCCTCCCACAGTACAAAGATATACTGGTGGGTTAATTGGCTGGTGCCAGTGTGTGCATGTTTGCGTCTGTGAGCCCTGCAATGGACAGAAGTCCCATCCTAATGTAATGTAATGTAATGTAATGTTTCTTTATTAGCCCTATACAATTTCTTTTCGCATACCCCAGCTTTTCTCCAGGGAGACACAGACACAGAGACAGGGAGAGAAGCTTGGGGTCAGAGCGCAGGGTCTGCCATTGTACGGCACCCCTGGAGCAGTTGGGGTTAAGGGCCTTGCTCAGGGGCCCAATGGAGTAGGATTCCTCTGCCGGCCGCGGGATTTGAACCGGCAACCTTCCGGTCACAGGCGCAGATCCTTAGCCACAGAGCCACTGCTCCGCCCCGTCCTGCCTAGAATGTCTCCTGGATTGCGCCCATTTCTCACTGGAACAGGCTCCCCTGCGACTCATCCATTTTTTTTTGCTGGAAGAAGCAGCAAAGAAATGGATGGGTACCTAAACAAGTCTTCCAAAAGATCCATGGGAGTTGCTGATGTAGGTGGGCGTCTGGGGGCCTGCCTTCTCACAGGTTCATTAAAAACACTCTGCTCTCCTCCCCACTGATCGCTGATGTGTGGTGAGCATTCTGGCGCACTATGGCTGCCGTCGCATCATCCAGGTGGGGCTGCACATTGGTGGTGGTGGAGGGGATCCCCATTACCTGTAAAGCGCTTTGAGTGGAGTGTCCAGAAAAGTGCTATAGAAGTGTAAGCAATTATTATTATTATTAACACCGTGCCTTGGTTTTGTTAACCCACCTGACTCTCATGCCCTGGAACATCTCGGTGTTGGTGTGGAAAGGCAGCACAGTGGTCGTGCTGACCCCTGGACAGTCCAGCAGCCCCAGCATTAAGCTCTCCATGAAGGCGAAGGAGGAGGCCTTAGAAGTGCAGTAGTCGATGGCCCCAGGGATGGAGGAGAGCGACAGGACCGAGTTAATGCACACCACGTGGCCGTTCTGCAGCTCCAGCATCCGCGGCAGGAACGCCTTGGCCGTCTGCGGGGAGAAAGACAGACACGTGGCACTTAGAGGAATTCCCACGGCAGCCTTCCACCCTGGGAAGCAAAAACAAAAAAACGGAGAGGGGCTTTTCAGCCACCTCTTTCTGGTCTTGGCCTGTCAAAACCGCAGTCGAGGTAAGGCTTGAATTTCTTCATCTCATGTCTGGTTGACAGCGCTGAGAATGGTGTTTAAAAAGTCAATCGTTTGATCTCCATTCCAATAATAAATGACAAGATCCCACAGTTATGCAAACTGCAGGTTCAGTCGCATCCGTTCTTTGCGATGTTACAATGGGTCCAGCATTCAATTTTTAATCTGGAAATCCCCTTCCAGCAAGTAAAGCACAGAATGTTAAGGGCTCCACAGTGATCTTTATAAGACTGTCTATCACACTGCATTAGTAGACGTGACTGAACGCAGAGCCACTGGTTAGCAAAGAGTCTATTATGTACTTTACAACATCTCACGGCTTCTCTGTTACAGAGGATATGAGATTGCCCTCAGTACTTTTCTATTTTGAATGAGAATTTTGTGGTTTACCGGATTTACTTGAAGTGCAGCCAAGTCGTATTAATGGGTTTCTTTTAGTGACTGTTATGTGTGGTTATGTTTATTTTGCGTTTGGAATTTTTTTTAAAAAGCTATATTTAGTGCAGGTTTTTTATGTCCTGGGAAAATAAAGCTTTGCTCATGGCTAGAATATGTCAACTAAAGAAATGCCAAAATCAAGTTACAGCTGAGCTCTGGCAAAATGAGTCAAAGGGATGTTATGCAACCATTCACCTTTTGTGCTGTTGAATACTTGTTCATTTAAATGCATTCTGTCGCAATCCTGCACCTTATGAGCTGTGATTGTCTGTACTGTATTCTGCACTGCATGTTTGTGCAATATCCTGAGGTTTACAAGACCATTCTGCTAAGTTCCATCACATACAGTAGAATGTTATTATTCAAAAACACAAGAAATGAGAGGAAACCATCGAGCCCAGCTAACCATTAGTCACTCTGGGTTACTGATGCAACGGTGACCGCAGAAATGTTGCATCAATAACATGCTGGGTATCTGCATGCAGCAAGAACAACTAAACAGGACGTGATGTGTTCTCTCCCAGGCTTTAAAATACTTGTAGCCCCAACACAACCTCAACTCTCCTTGAATAGCCTATTCATTTGACTGGGGCCCCTAATATTTTAGCCACTGATCCTGCCACTACTTCTACTATTACCAGTAATAAGAAGCTGGCTCATATTATTATTAGCAGTAGTAATATACAGGTAACGGGCACTCCCCTCCACTGGAACAACTGTGTAGCACCCACCTGGATGATGTGATGGCAGCCAGAGTTCACCAGTACTCTAACCACACACCAGCTATCAGTGGGGAGGAGAACAGAGTGATGAAGTCAGTTCATAGATGGGGATTATCAGGAGGGCCCGTTAGCAAGATATTAGCAAGATAGCAATATTTGAGAGTGTAATACTGCATCATCAGGCAGAAACAATAATCATCTTACACCTGATACTGACTAAACATATCCTACTGCTGTGAAACCAGGCCTTTGAAGGGGTCATCTGTTATGTCTTGCACTTACCCAGAACTGTCCCAGTGTGTTGATGTGCTGTGTTTTCAGCAGGGCATCGTCATCACTGTCTATGAGGCGTTTCCCATGAACCACAGCAGCATTGTTCACAAGAATGGTAACATCGCCCACCTAAGCAGCAAGATCAATGGAAACTTAGAACTGGTTCTGTCACAGCCAGGATCAGAGCTGCAATAGAGGTTTTATCTCATTACTTCATCTCAGTGAAGTGATCAGATTATTAGATCGCCCCGGAATCTTAATGTTTGTGTTATCTTATCCAGTCCTGCAAAGCCAGTTTTAGTCTCCGAGCCAGACGTGGGTTGAGCCATTTACGACAGAAGAAAGTTAAAGAAGAATTACTTCAAAGGAACAGGTAACGGGTTTATTCCGTGCTGAAAAGAAAAGAAAGGAAGCACAACATTTTGGCCATGGAGCCTTCTTCAGCTGTGTGGCTCCATGTGGCCTACTTCTTCCACACACCTGAAGAAGAAACGTTGTGTTTCCTTTCTTTTCAGCAGGGAATAAACCCGTTACCTGTTCCTTTGCAGCCTACGCATTCTGACGCAGCTGCCTGCTTGAAGAATTACTTCAACTGCTTTGTCTGTAAGTAGTGAAGTAGTGAAATTACACAGTACAAAGCCCTCCTGAATGCTGCAATGCTTTATGTCTTATTCAAACACTTTCTGCTTAGTAGAAGCATAATACTACTTCAGCATCTGTTGTTTGTTACATGACTATTGGGGCATTTCAGATCTGGTAAGCAGCCATTTTAATCTTAGCAACTGAAAAATACAACAGTAAAACATATGCAATGATTTTGTTTTCTTTCTGTGTTGCTGACTTCAATTTACCTGCCACAAAATACTAATGCATTAATTCACCTTGAGGGTACCTAGCTTTAGTGAACACTAACAGCGTTGGGTTTCTGGCACTTACTTTTTCTCGCACCACCTTGGCCTGCTTGTACACCTCTTCCCTGTTGCCCACATCACACACGAAGTAGTGGCACTCTTTTCCCAGGAGCGCAATCTCCTCACTCGTTTCCTTCAGGCATTTCTCCGTACGGCCCCACAGGATCACCTGGCAGGAAAGCAAGGGGACATAGAACAAGGTAAGCGGACCTGAACACCCCTTTTGAAATCAACCTAAGAAAGTTTTAAACTACAGTTCGGGCTCTGTCCTTTAAATGGTTGTTTCTATCTTTTGACGATGTGCATCATTTTCCCTTTTTCAAAAAATTAGACCTACAAAACCTGCTAGGATGTGATCTTTAAAGACCAGAATTAAGGTCTAATTAAAGGGTTATAATTTATGTTCATAAGTGAATAATGTTATCTGGTCTAATCTATATTAGTGGATGTAATTTGGGAAATATACAGTTTATGTTAAGCTGCTATAGCAACGCAGTAAGCTTCGTAATTTGGTTGTTTTGAGTACAAATGGCCTGGTTTAAGTAGCAAACAACATTAACATTGGTTACTCTAACCTATATAACATATTTCAGCAAATCGGAGCCTCTTCTCATGATTCTGAATGGGTAAAAACAAGAGCAAAAGGCTCATCTTGTATAGGTGTTATGTGTATGTAGGCATTTCTAAAACAAAACCATCACAGCATGAAAAAGTAGTAAACACTTTGGCACAGCATTAATCTAACAAAAAAAAGTTATTTGAAATTTACATCACAATATCATCGCACTTTAACAAACAAAAACCCTTCAAAGTACACCTTCCTGTGCCATGTATACATCCAGTAGTTTTATCCCAGAATTATTTTATACATATCTGTGTCATTCTACCCTGGCAGACACTGGGTGAAAAGTGGGGCATTACCTTCCTTGGGATGCATTCTAATATCAAAGGGCACACATGCAGGGTACGCAAGTTAATTTAGCCAGCATGCCTTTAGAAGGGGTGAGAAAAGCAGAACAACCAAGAACAAATTCAAGAAAATATGAGAAGAACATGCAAACTCCACCCCCAATCTGAAGCTGATCCCAAGATCCAAGAATCCAAGAGGCAGCAGAATTAAGTATCATTCCAGCATGCTGCCTTTAAACCACTCAGTCAGTCGCATATACTCCACTTAAGGCTACGCCTTCTCTACTACCATTCCAAAGAAACAGGCCATTAAGTCTCAACTGATCTTTAATTAAGCTTTCCTGGCTTTATTGTTGCATAAAGAGTATGATGCAGCAAATACTTTTTACTTAAATACTTCAGTTTAAAAAAAGGAAACAATAATTCCAATAAAACAGAAGCAGCTGGTACTCAGCTTCAGGTAGAGAACACAGCCAGGATAGCACTTTAAGCTGAGACAAGATGGGAACAGTCTGCTTTTGTAGCTTTAAAACTTGACCAAATACAGTAAAAGAGGGCCTGTTGCTTGAAGACATGTTGCTATATATATATTTCAGACTGCTCTTTCTTGCATATCGCCAAGAAAGGCATACAAGGTGCCAGTGAATCGATGGAAGTTTTGCAGTTAAAAGTTAAAAGCCTACGTTAGTGAGCTCTTCCATGTATAATCGATATCCATCCCCTGCATTGCGCAAAGCAACCAGCAGCTCTTCTCTCTTATGCTATTTTGAAATGCTGGGCACATGCAGCATGCATTTGGATAGACTTTAAATATATACATGTTTACTCACTTGTGGCTCTTCAGTTCTAGTTTGTAAAACGTCAACAAAGATTTTTTTTATTAAACCATTATTTCAAAACCACATCAAACTAGCACAGGACAAACTTCTTGGCTTCAATGGACCCAGAACCACAGATGAATACCACTCATCCAACACTGCTTCAGGCTTTTGTGTAAAGTTTTATTCCGATTATTTAAGTACAAAGACAGTCAAAATTCACCCATAAACTGAACTTTTCACTTTTTAAATATTTTCAGTGCTCTCTTTTTATCTTAACCCACAAATCCTCGCCCTATTAATCTGCATACCTTTTTCTTGTCGGTTCAGAATGTCGGCAAATTAAGACTTAAAAACAGAGTTCCTGTTCTGTGCTATGTGTTTTGTGTAACATATGATAGGGTGGAATTCAAAGGACTTAGAGGTGTTCAAAACACACTATCACAGAAGCTTCGTGTAAAATAGCATTTACTTCTTCGAAAAGCTATAAGGCTTTTTTGAACTGTCAGGCTATGTTTGTTTGGATAGGCAGATGAACAATTTGAATTTCACAATCGTGCATGCAATGGAAGACGCGATCCCCATAAAAGGTATAACCAGCAACAAAACCCTTTAAACGAAACCAGATAGAGAAATGGTCCAACTAAGCTGAAAGTCTTTTTTCAAATAAAAACTGCACATTGAAATAAAATGTAAGGCATAGGCATAAAAACATCTATTGTAATTATACAATATTTCTCGAAGGTGTCTGTAATTGGCTGGAACGTGTACTTCAATTGTGCCTTTGAATAGGATTGATGTACATTTACTTAACAACTACAAGCATAATCGTTACAATAAATTTAATTACCAAGTTGTTTTTCCAGTACTGAAGTCCGGTACAAGACTATAAAATCAAGTGGTAGATTAGTTTCCGTTATACCCAGGAAATAATTCATGTACTTCAAATGCTTTATTGTTCAGGTCTGATTTGTGTAGAACAAAAGACAATGCTTGGCATCACCCCCATGCTCACCCCATTTTAACAAAATTCCATAAGAACGGTAACAATGAGTAAAGGCTACTGGACACATCTTGCTCACCGCACCAATTAAGCTTGTGATGGTGGTGAAAAACCCACATGGGCCCGAGTGGAACATGCAAACTGCACAGAAGGCACACAGAGACATAGCCACACAAACTCTCCATAGGACCAATTTTCCCCCAAAATTTAAAATTAAGCTACTAGTTATGTTTTTGCATGTGGGGGAGAAACTGGAGCACCCGGAGGAAAACCCATTTTAACACACATAGAACATACAAACTCCACACGGATAGCACCCCAGGTCCATAACTGAACCCTGTGCTACCCAGATATGCAAGGCAGCAATGCTAGCCACTGCACTATTGTGCCAGATATTATTCTTGAAAATAAATATTTGGAGTAATATTTGAATCACAGACAACAGTGCCGAGTGTAGCTCACTGATGGCCAGCAATTGATTATAGACACGTCAATCACCAATGTCAGAGTAGCAATGATAACCCCGAACACACACCCTTCTCCTCGTCTCTCAAACACACACTCACAAAGAGATTACACGGCTCACTAGGCAGATGAACCGTGCAATTTTCTGGTCAGGGAGTTTCAAACAGTGCGTGTGTTGAGTGCAGCTGTGGGGGGCAGGACAAGCTTTGGCCAGCGGCCAGTGACCAAGGGTTATCTTCCAGCAGGAGCTCCTCTGGAAAGTGATCCGGTTTTGGTGGGGGGAGGGAAGTGGGATACAGCAGAGAACACATCCATCAGTCACTTGCAGTCAGTGGACAGGGCTAAATAACACTCAGCAAAGGCTCTCAGCACTGGGGCTGTACTTGAAAATCATCTGTGTCTTAATATCGCAGTGCGGAAGTGGCCCTTTTGTCTTTTATAAACGCTCTATTATTCATGGGAAACACCGACCGCTATGTGAGGTGAAATGGATGATACTTCAGGCCAATACCTGAAGCTACCAAGTTATTTAGACCCGATTGTGCAATTGCTCACCCCTGACCCTCCCTGCAAACCCCACCCTTTATGTGAAAGTGGTTTCAGGGCATAGTAACACATATTGGGATTTATACTACTGCTCCTGTCTGTGCAGTTTTACACATCCTTTGTTCTGTGTTCCCATAAACCCCCAAATAACTTTTCTTTTCACCCATGTTAGTTTTCTTTATACCACTTCTCAGGTGTTTATTACATGTTTCATGCTTGCTAAACAATATCTGGATTTTTTCTTCTGTGTGGGGGATCTTTGGGAATTTGGGAAGACATCTGACTTTTGGAAAGGTCCAGGAATTTATTGCATCCCTAAATTAGAACACAGTAGCATATTGTTTTATTATTACAAAAATACAGAAATGCTCGTTACCAATCACTAAACAATGTAAAGTTGCAGATAACGTCTTTTTGTGCTGGTCTCCTCTGCCTTAAAGGAGGAGCAGTATTAGAAGTGTTTTTTTTCCCTCTAAATTGTTTGCAAACAAAGAATGTTATAGAATATCCTACATCTTGTTAACAATCTTACAGAAAAATAAATATTTATATCCAGTGTGGCCTGGTGGTTAATATTACAGCTCTTAGGTACTGCAGTGTGGCACCTTCTGAGAGGAAACTACATGTCCTTGTATTTGCATGGTTCTTGTTTCCACCCCCTGGGATTCAGACTAATATAGCTCTCCCAATTATCCTTATGGGTGCAACGCAATGAGTCTTTATTCCTCCTGGGTGTAATCCTGCCTAGTGTTCTGTACCTCTGAGCATAGACTCCATATTACTTTGTCCTTTACCAGAAACACACAACTGTCTGATTATGAACAGATGAATTCTTATCTATTTGAACATTCTGCCTAAGTGACCATAAAAAGCTAAATAAGTACCATTCCAGCCATCCTCTTATTCAGCATTATAATTAAGGGGGAAAAAAGCTGTTCATAAATAAACAAGTTTTCTTTGATCTTCCATGGAAACGTATCAACTTTTATTATTTTAGTGTGTTTTACTTGAAAATAATTATAGTTCTACATATAATGAATTCATTATTTGATCGAGTTAAAAAGGCTTAGATTTTAACATTACACACAGCTTAATTATAGCAAGAATGTAGTATTCAGTATTTACCAAAGGGATTAACTGCCCTAGATTCAGTACAAAGAATAGATCCTAAACTAATTCACAGTGAGAAAGGTATGCTTTAGTCAAGCAGATCCTGGAAACCCAATAATTTCCCTCATGAATTCTGAAGGAAATCAAAAGGTGTATTGAGCAAGTCAGTCAAAGGGTCATGTTTAACATACAAGTAGACAGGGACACAGATGGTAGTTAAGTTTATTGGGGACATAAAGCAAGACTCATTTTTTGTGTAGTTAGTCATGAGATGTGAAACTGACCATTAGCATATTTTAAGAAACAATGGGTGGGAAG